GCAGAAGGTTCTCCTATAATTTGAGATTGTGGATGGCTTTGGGTCCATTTAGTGACATGATATGGTGGAACAGAAGGCACGGTTTCTTGTGCGATTTGAAGATGAGGTTGAGATGCAGAGTCTTGTTCAGGCTCATGAGCTTCATTTGAGGATGAGACTGGAGGACTTTCATTTATGGGTGCAGCCTCTGGTTGAGAATCTTCATGGGAAGGGGTCATAGAGGATGAAGGGAGGGGGGCGTCCTCTGTGAGAGGTGTTGTGGAAGGACTTTCTCTGGATGCTTGATCTGGATGGGCAACTTTTACAGAGGTTCTTTCTGGTTCTGCATCGTCTCCATACCACTCTGTAAACAGTTGCTCGAGTTCTGGGGTGATTGTAGCGTTTGGAGATTTGTTGGCTTGGATTTTCAACTCTTCTGTGAACTTGCCATTCATCACATGAAAAGAATCATCAAATCTTATGTTTGTGCTAACAACCACGATTTGGGTCCTGGGGATGTAGGCTCTGTATGCKGCAGTATCCCACGCATAGCCGATGAAGATTGCATCATCCCCTTTGGGCTCAAATTTTCCCAGAAACTCTCTGTCATTGAGAACGTAGCATTTACAACCAAACATGTGGAAGAACTTGATGTTTGGCCTTCTATTGAATAGAAGTTGATAGGGAGTCTTCTTGAAGCGTTTGACCACCAAGGAACGGTTCTGTGTGTAGCAGGCAGTAGAAACAGCTTCTGCCCAAAAAGATAATGGAAGCCCAGAGGCATTCAGCATCGTTCAGGCAGCTTCGACAAGCGATCTGTTCTTCCTTTCCACTACTCCATTTTGTTACGGAGTCCTTAGGGCTGAGAAGTTGTGTGTGATGCCAACAAAGGCTAGGTATTCTTTGATCATAGAGTTTTTAAATTATGTGCCATTATCGCTCCGTAATACCCTAACCTGCAAAGCATGAAGAACTTGCAATCTCTTTAAGAGATTGATTAGTACGCAGGGAACTTGAGATTTCTTACGTAAAAACTCTACCCACGTAAACCTTGAGAATTCATCTATGAGTACAAGGATGTACTT